AAACCCAAAGGGGGCAGTTCTACTCTGTCCTGTATACCTGTTATGAGTTGAAATCAACTCGATAGTGAGAAATAAGAGATTAGGGAAACACATGAATTGAGCTCCAGATTTATCCTAGATACATGCCTGAAGATGTTTCCAGAAGGACTTTCAGGTTCTGGAACCCCCAAATTAGACTATGTTGAAAGACAGTACTTTGAACTCAGGATGGCTGATGTAGTCGGTCATGGGCAAGAAGTCAAACCTTGCAACATGAGACCAGAATGGAGTGAGTGAAGTCCACTTTTACCCCCAACTTCTTTTTTTTTTTTTAACACAGACTACAGCCAGATGGCAGCAATAGTGATGTAAGGAGATGTACAGCGGTTATAGGAGAAGTTACCATCATATTGACTAAATGAACTAGGTTTAAGAGCTCTGTGATATCCGAGGCCACTGGAGAATAGAGAAGGAAGTCCAGGAAGGAGAGATCAGAAAAGGGGAATGGTTAATTCTGTGTATAATCTCAGTATACTTCACTGAATTCTAAACTATGAATATATGGAAAAATTGAAAGCAGCTAGCAACTGAGGCTTTACTAACCACACTGTGAGTCTGTGTGACTTGGTGAAATCAATTTACTTAGCTGCTAAAGTAAAAATACTACATGTGGGAGCAATTTGAAAAATTTTAAATGCATTTGTCATAACATTTATTATATGCTGGATTCAATAACGAATGCCAGCCAATCTTAAGGGAAAGGACATCCAACAAATGCCAATGTCTGGAAGTCCTGGACATGCGAACTTTTAAATCAAGAAGCCCTGGTGGTGCAGTGGTTATTAGTGGGGCTGTGATCTGCACAGGTGGGAGTTCAAAACCACCAGCAGATCCGAGGGAGAGGAAGACTGGACCTTCTACTCTGGCCTTTTTGGTGTGTATGTGAGGTAGGGACCCAAATTATTATTATTATTATTTTAGGGATGGTCAAGCCCCCTCCAATTGTTGAAACGAGTTTTCTGTTGACGTTTATTGGCACCCCTATAGAATGTCCTTTGACTATAAACACAACATTTGTGTCTTTGCTCCCAATTTTGTTCCTCTCTCCATATGCCTGTACTTTTGTGAATGCCATGCGGCCTTGCTTAAGTTTTATTTCACATTTTGGAATAGGATTGTGTAAACTTTTCAACTTTGTTCCTTTTCAAGATTGATTTTGTCTATATGCTGAATTTTTTTCATTTCTGTATGAATTTTATGATTTTCTTAATATAAAATAGTAAGCAGAGCTTTTGATAAGAATCAGTATTAGATCCGTGTATCAAGTTGTGGGGATTGGCATCTTAGCTTTAGTAAGTTCTCTGACTCCTACTCTTGGACTGCCTTGTCATCTGTCGAGGGCTTCTTTCCATTCTTGCAATCACTACTTGAAGTTGTCAGTGTATTTGTCTTATATTTATATTAAGAATACTGTCATTTTGTTTTTTTATGAAATAACGTTATAGGACTGATCCCTAGGAAACTTTTTTTAAAAGAACCAAAACTGATATCTTCCTATTTTTGTCCCTGATATATAATAAAACAGATCTCAAACCATTTTTAAAATCTCTCAAGTCTCACATTAATTCATTTGCTCATTCAATGATCATGTATTTTTTCAATAGTCTAATTGGCATGTGATTCACATATCATACAATTAATATTTCAATCACATCAAGAAGAGGGGTACAATCAGTTTAAGAATATTTTCTTCATTCATGTACTCATTGTTATTAGCTACCCATTTCCACCCAGCCTCCCCTGCCTTACCAAGAAACCATTCATCCAATTACTGCCTCTATAGATGCTCCTATCCTGGATTTCATATACAGAAACACATTATAAACAAGAATAACAAAGTAAAACAGATAAAAATCTCAAATGAAAAGAAAGCAGAACATATTCTTAAAAATAGAACAAAATTAGGTGGATCATAAAAAAGATCAAATGCTAGGGTGATAAATTTTAATCTAACAGCATCTGCAACAATCCACTTTCCAGTGCATGTTAACAAGGTATTCACATCTCTGGCCCATGGTCAGTGGGGATTCACCAGGGACTTAGTCCTTTAGTATTTCCCTTAATTTTTCTTTTTGAAAAGCTGAAACAGCTTTAAAATGGGTCAAAAGGGAGATCAAATGATATTACATTTTGACCCAAGTACATCAGCCATAATCAATTTTTCAATGCTCTGTATGATAACAGGGCTATTCACATCCCTCAACTATGATCAGAAGGGATCTACTAGAGGCTAAATCTATGCATGGAGCCTACAAATGGATTTTGAGCTTCCACTGTCATCCGTAACCTTCTGCAAACCAGTTGTTCACAAGTTAAACTCTGATGCCATTCCCTCCTTTAAATTAGGATTATATTATTTACAATCCTTGGATCACACTTCCTCTTGTGCTTCTTCCATGTGAACTTAGATGACTTCTCGCTTAGATGGGCTGCTCGTTTGAAAACAAGCCTTTACGATCCAGACACTCTTCTTTCTGTAGCCAGATATCATCTAGTTTCTTCTCCACACTTGGCTATTTCACCCGTATCTTCAGTGATCTCTTTAAGTGGTCAACCACCAAGCAGGGCCATGTCATAGGAACTAATTGTTTTTAGATTGGGGCTAGAATTGAGTGCATGCCCCAAATCTATTCATGCATCTATGGTTTGTATCTCTCTGGTTCACCTTAAAAACATCGTTGTAGTTTTAATCAACGGACGTCTATTAAGTACCTTTTCTGTGCCTTCAAGTATATTTAAGTCACAGAACATAATATTGATTTGTCACTAAAATTCAATTAAAATGTAAATAGCTCCTAAAATTTATACTATTCATTTAATTTCTCATACTGGTCTTAAAAATTATATTGTTAACTAACCTCTTTTAATGCTTGTTTGTTAAAATGCCACATGTTTATAAAGTATGAAAATACCATATATGTCTATAAAGAACTACTTGTAAACAACATGTATAGCTCATCAATATGAAGCTAAAGCATTGTAACATTTAAATCTCATTATATTTTATCCTGATTTCAGTATTTGCTTCTCTTCTATAATTGAATTAAGATATAGTTCCTAAATAATTCTTGGAAGATGACATTTTGAAAAGAAAAGGACATTGATTTATGTGTCTTATACTTATATGTGTTTTTAATGCCTGAATAATATCAGGTAAAGTACTAGTAAAATGATTTCTGGGCTCATACGTTATGAGAATTCAGTCTTTCTTGGGTCCCCAATCAATGCTCATGGAAGCAGCAATCAAGAGACCAAATGATGCAATGCTTTGGGTTATTCTGCTGCAAAAGACCCCTTTAAAGTTCTGAGAAGCAAAGATATTTCATTGAGGACTAAGGTACGCCTGACCTAACCCATGGTATTGTCAATCACCTCATATGCATGTGAAAGTTGACCACTGCATGGGGATGATGGTAGAAGAATCTATGCATTTGAACTATGGTGCTGGGGGAAATAATGAAAGTGCCATGCACTGCCAAAAGAGCAAACACATGTCTTGGGAGAAGTACAGGCAGAATGCTCCTTAGAAACCAGGATAGTAAGACTTCATCTCACCGTCTTTGGACATGTTATCAGGAAAGACCCGTCCTGGGAAAAAGACAGCATGCTGGGTAAAGTGGAGGGGAAGCCAGAAAAGAGGAAGGCCCTCCATGAGACGGATTGACCCAGTGGCTGCAACAGTGAACGCAGGCCTAAGAACAGCTGTGAGGAGGGTGCAGAGCCAGGTGTACTTGTTCATGGGATGGCACTAGAATTCACTAGCTGAAGATTTTTAATCAAATTACTTGATATTCGGGACCTTGTTTTCTTCCTCTAGAAGATGAACATAGCTCTTATTTAACTATTTTTTCTTTTGTGGAAATAAAATTAGATAATTAGTATGACTGCATTTTAAAATTGTAGCACACTTTATAAGGACACTGTTTGATATGTTCTTTGCTTTGTGTCAACTCTTCCACAGGAATACCAGCTCATGATAGGACTCAGTAATTGGATGCTCTGGGGTGCCTATTTCATCACATTCTTCATTTTGTATTTAATTGTCACCCTCTGCCTATGCATCATATTTTTTTCCAAGGCAAGTGTCTAATTTGCTACATTTCCAGAAGAAAACAGAAATCTGTTATGGGATGACTAGGACGCAGGGTTCCTGGGAATTAAAATGGGGAAATTCAGAAGCTGCTTATTCTCAGTGACCAAAACGGTACATTTAGATGGTAAAAATTCTATAGGAAAACAATTGTTTGTTTAGTTCTGTAAAAAATGAATTGTCATTCTTACGGTAAATGTCGCCAGTCTCACTAGGACTATATTTGACAGATATTTAAGAATATTTCACTTTTCCTCTTTTGTTTTGCTGCAATATCACTTCAAATAGGACTAACCGAGTGTCCTGGTTATTTTGCTAGATTGAGCCTTCTTCCATTCTGCAACACAGCGACCACTCGCTCATCTTTGTCTTTTTGCTGTGTTTTGCCACCTCCTCAATCTTCTTCAGCTTCATGGTTAGCACATTTTTCAACAAAGGTGAGTCTAACACTTGTTCTAGGAAAGATTCTCAGTGTCTAATAAGTATCTTGTTTGAAAGATTATTATATTTGGGAGAGTACTAGGTTGGTTCTCTAGAGAAGTAAAACCAAGGATGGGCATATGCAGAAGAAGGAACTTTATATTGGGAAGCAATTTTATATCAAGAAGACATCTCAGCCAAGTCCAACTCAAGTCCTTGGGTCCCGTGGTAGCCAAGGCCCTCTTCCAATGCATGTAGCTGGAGGCCAATAATGCAGGAAGGTGAGGCAGGAATCAGGAGATCTCAGGCCAGTAGGTGCAGAGTTACATGGAACCAACATCAGTGGAAACGTGGCAGGGAGTTAACAGCTCTCCGGGCAGGCAGCCCCCATGGCGCCGCCCCTGGAGACACACAGAATTTCTGGGAAGTCCCAGCAATGCAAAGGGCCAGTCTCATCCTCACTTTCTTTCTTATAGAAAAGACCACACTCTCAAGGAGACATCACCAGGGTATGACCTGACTGACAGGTTGGAGTCCACTCCTACCTGCACAGAGGTCCCTTCAACTTGACATAAAATCTAACCACCACGGGGACCACAGAAGGCAGAGAAGTAAAATAAAAGACCCCAGGAAATGATGGACTACGAATGGAAACATTTCAACACACTGATGCATTGCTGTTACTCTCCCTGTGCCGAGAAATTGGAAAGGTAGCTAACTGTCCAACTCGATGGTAGAATTGGTGGTGCCTATTCCAAAGAAAGGTGACACCATGGACTATGGAAATGATTAAAGAATGCCATTCATATCATATGCAAGCACAATTCTGCTGAGGATCATTCAAAAGTGATTGCCACAGTACATGGACAGGTAGCTGCCAGAAAAATCAGGAAATATGTATCAATTGTATATTATTCAATCTGTATGCTGACTCGGTAATCCGAGAAGGTGGACTGAATGGAGGAGAGCATGGCGTTGAAATTGGAGCAAGACTCATTCATAACCCGGGATATGCAGATGACTCACTCTGCTTGCTTTTGCTGTTGAAGATCACAGGACTTGGAAGGATTACACCTCAGTGTAAAAAAAAATTTTTTTTTTTAATCCTCACAACTGAACTAACTGCAGCATCACAACCTGAAAATGCGTGAAAAGATTGAAATGGTCAAGGATTTCATTTTATTTGAATCCACAATCAAGTGCTCATGGAAACAGCAGTCAAGAAACCAGACAGCTTAATGCATGTAAGTAAATGTGCTGCAAAGTATCTCCTTAAAGAGTTGAAGAGGCAATATGTCACTTTGAATATTAAAATGAGACTGACAAAGCCCTGGTTATTTTCAATCACCTCCTATGCATGTGAAAGCTGGACAACGAATAAGGCAGATCACAGAAGAATTGGCATAGTTGAATTACGGTTTTGATGGAGAAGACCGAATATACCATGGGTTCCAAGGAGAATGAACAAATACTTCTTGGTAGAAGTTCACCCTGAATGCGCCTTAGAAGCTTTATGCTGAGTCTTAATCTCATGAGCTTAGGTCATGCTATCAGGAGGAAGTAGTCCCTCAAAGATACTATGCTTGGTAAATGAGGGAGTCAGTGAAAAATAGGAAGACTCAATGAGATGGATTGATAGAGTGATCCTAAGAGGGGCTCAAACATAAAAATGTGAGCATGGTGGCGAACTGGGCACTGTTTCATTCTGTTGTGCATCGTGTCACTGTGAGTTGGAAGCAACTGAATGGCACCTAACAACAAAAACGGCAAATGTACAAGCCAGTGGCGTTAAGGACATTCACGATATTATTCGATCATTATCCCTATTTGATTTAAACACACTTTCATCACTCCCCTCCAAAACTACATATTAAGTAGCTCTCGTAGGCTGTCTTCCTAGCAGCCCTTATGATTATTTTATATATAGATTTACCTATAAGGACATTTCATACAAAGAGAATCATATGTGGCCTTTTGTTTCTGGATTTTTCCACTTAGTGTATGTTTTCATGGTTCATCAATGTTTTAGCATTACTTGTTATGACTGAGAAAAGATTCCATCGTAAACATTTTTAAATTCATTTATCGGTTGATAGCGTTTGAGTTATCTCTACGCTTTGATTATTAGTGATAGTGTGCTCCTGTGAAATTCATATACAAATTTTTGAAACCTTTTGTTAAAATTGTAAATTAGGTGGGGATTTATATTTTAGATCATCAACTTTGTATTCGATGGTTTAAACCCCACCCACCCCAGTAGCTTACCCCTCCTCAGTTCCTTGATTCCTCTTCTCCCTCTTGTGGACCACTGTCTTTCACTTCATCCAAGTTGACACTTGTCAACTGTCAGTCTATTGTGTTATCTCCCTTCCTTTTCCCTCCCCCCACTGGCAAACACCAAAGTCTGTCCCCTTTGGTATGAAAGTCCTTATCTTCCTTTGTTTAGTTTTCTGTTCCTTACAACCCTGGTCTCATACAATATTTGTCCTTTGTGTCTGGCTAACTTCCCTCAGCACAATGTTCTTCACGTCCCTGTGGGCCATGACGTGCTTCATGGTTTCATCACTGTTTTTAGTGGGGCATTGTGTGTCTGTAGCAGACTTTTTTATCCATTCTCGTACTGATGGGCATCTAGGTTGTTTCCATCTGCTTGCTATTGTGAACATGGGTGTTTCTCGTACTGATGGGCATCTAGGTTGTTTCCATCTGCTTGCTATTGTGAACATGGGTGTGTATATGTCTGTTTATGCTATAGTTCTTAACTCTTTAGCATATAGATGCAGTAGAGCTATCATTAGCTCATATGGAATTTCTAATCTCAGTTGTTTGAGGTAGCACCATACTACTTTCCACAATGGTTGTACATTTTTACAGACCAACCATCAATGTATGAGGGTTATAAACTCCACATCCTCTCCAGCATTTACTGTTTTTATTGTGCTGCTATTTGTATTAGAATTTAAATTCCCTGCACTCTTTTTGCAGACAATTATGGATAACAGTGAAAGTCCCAAATCTATTTGTAGAGTCCTCCCATGGATTAAGCCTCCCCTCAAGTCCTTCTGACCATGGACCAGGATGTGATAGTCCTGCCCTCAGACAGAGTGCACTTCACTCCAACCAGGCCAGGGAGTCTTCCTTAGGGGCTTGCCTGAGTGTGTCATACATGGGGATCACTTTACTGAGGATGGTATTGGGAGTTGAATAGCCAGGAGTCACGCCCAGTCAGTCATGCCATGATTGCTGTAGTCAGAGGGCCTTGGACCCAGCTTGTCAACTCTCTGTCTAATGTAATGTGCATGTTCTGTTCCCTACTGTTGTCTGGCTAGTGCAGTCTGACTTGTGTCTGTTATGTATTAATTTGTCACCAGTCATGCTTTTGCCCTCTATATCTTTTTTTAAAGCTCTCTATCTCAGCAAACACCTGGATGACTTAATGCTGATGTTGTCCCTCATCTGGATGATGTGTGTTTGTCTTTGCCCTGTTTGGCTTAATAAATGTCCACCTTAAATTCTATTTTAGATCGAGGTCTCCTTTGTACTCTAAAACACATCGTCTAAGTAAGGGAATATCTAGTTGTTTTGATTTGCATCTCCCAGATGGCTAATGATTGTGAGAATTTTTTTCTCATGTTTATGAGCATTTATTTTCATGTTTGTTAGTCATTTGGATGTGGTTATTGGCGAGCTATCTGCTCATGTCCTTTGCCCACTTTTTAACGAATTATCATTATTACGTATTTTCCTCTTTAGATATTGCAGTTCTCTATAAATTTTAGAGATTAGTCTCTTGATTGTTGTGTCATTGCTAAAGATTTCCCCCCCAGGCTGTGGGTTCCCTTTCTACTCTTTTGATGCACCTAAGTGTCTTATTTTTAGTAGGCCCAATCTTCTCATTTATCTTCTACTATGTTTGCTTTCTTCATTATGTTTGATAGTATGTCTGTGCCTTGAAATAGAGCCCTTAAGTTTGTCCCTATTCTCTCATTGATTACCTTCATAGCGCTGAGATTTACATTTAGGTCTTTGATCTATGTTGAATTTGTTTTTGTACATAGGGTGAGGTCTGAATTCTGTTTCAGTCTTCTGCAGATGGAGATCCAGTTTTGTTAGCACCATTGGTTGAAGAGACTATCTCTATCCCATTTAATAGTTTGGGGCCCTTTGTTAAAGACCAGTCTTCTATAAGTGGTTGAATTTATTTCTGAATTTTAAAAATTCTGTTCCATTGGCTTGCATACGTCACATTGTATCAGTACTAGGCTGTTTTAACTGCTGTGGTTATGTGATATGTTTTAAGGTTGGATAGTGAGAGGCTTCTTATTTTTTTCCCTTCTTCTTAAGCTCTTTGCATAATCCTGGGTCTCTCCTCTCTCCTAAAAACTAGCAGTGAATTTTCCCACTGCTTTAAAGAATGGAGTTGGGATCTATATCAGAATTTCATTGCATTTATAGATTGTTTGGGTAGTATTGAGATTTTTCACAATGTTAAGTGTTCTTATCCTTTTCTGTATATAGATCTCTTGGTTTCTTATAGTAGGGTTCTCTAATGTTCTTTCTCTTATTTTCATTTCACTGGTTTAGTTTATTTCTAAGTATTTCATCTTTTGTTTGGCTATTGCAAATTATACTGGTTTTTTTCTCTCCCACTAGACTCTAAATTCTATTGACTTGTTCTATATGCCTATCCTATGTCAGTACCATTCCGTTTTGATTATTTTCACAATGTAACTTTGAAAAAGCGAATGTGATCAATCCAACAAGATTGTTCTGGTTAGTCAGGACTCCTTGTAAGTCCTCAAGAATATGAGAGCTGATTTTTCCATTTCTGTAAAAAGTATGCTTATAGAAATTTTGATAGGAATAATTTTAAATCTATAGTTTGCTTTGGATAGTACTGAGATCTTAGCAATGTTCATTTAAGCTTTCCCATTCATGAACATGGAGTCTTTCCACTTATCTAAGTATTCCTAATTCTTTTTCAACAAATTTTCTTTACTTTTGAGTGAATAATTCT